ATTTCTATATATATACTATTTATTTCTAAATTTTATAAATACCTGCGAGTTAGCCTGCGCCTCTGAGACATTGTCATATTTATTGCCCACCACAATTATGCTAAAATCACGATGACTGAAACTATCCAAGATTTGATCTCTTATGGAGCGGCAGTACTGCAAAATAGTTCCAGTTAAGTTGAGGCTAAATATTAAGACATCTGGTATTTGGGCTCTATACCTGAAACGTTTCCAGATTACCCATGTCATAGACTAAAACATAGGCGTGCACCGTTCGCAGCCCCAGCGGATGTCCATTATTCCATTCAGCAAAGTTGTCAGCTGGAAATCGCTTCTGGCAAGGTTCCCATGCCGATTTGTTAAGTGTTTGTTTTTAATCAGTGTCGTCGCAGTATGTAGACGCACATGAAACGTGTTTGCATTCACATACACACATATACATGTGCACATTTCGAGTATATGCGTGAGTGTGTGTGTGTGCAATAAACAAAGAGAARATAGCAATTTAATATGTAGAGCATTATACAACTGGAGAATATAATAAAGAAGGATACGAATGGGTTATAGCAGTGGAATGTATATGGGCTTTCATTGATTTGCACCTAGATATTCTTCCATTTTCATTACAGTTAGCAAAAACTTTATAAATTTGATTTTCTATTTCTGTTCTGGCATGGGCCTTTCGAAATATTATTTATTATTAGGGAAACCAGATTAAAAATCAATTTACTGAGCAGCATTTTCGAGTGAGAGCTGGGCCAAATAGAAATATTGGCCAAAGGCTTAGGCTAAGACCACGCGCCTTGTCGCCATTACATTCCCTCGTCCTCAACCTCAACCCCAACCTCCCCCTCCTCCTTCTCCTTCTTACATTTCAAGCAGTCGCTCCCCCCGTTACCCCCATTTGTCCACTTGTGTCTGCTGGCAGACAGCCAGTCGACGTTGTCTTCGTGGGAGGAAAGTTTCTTAGATTTACGCTTTTGATTAAATTTCGTTTCATTTGCTTTGCGCATTTCCCACTCAACTTCTCTCAATTGTTTTTCTTGATTTTTGCTAATTAAGCATTGTATTGGCACGAAACGAGACAGCTTGCCAGCTGTCGAATCCCTATTGCCGATGTCCTTACATTTTGCTGTCTAAACCCCTTACTATTTCATTTTTTATTGCACTCCCTTTCTACTTCGTTAATTGTTTTCAAAGTGCTTCAACAGCGAGACTCACATTCATAATTTCCAAGACTTTTGTTTCATTTACTTTCAGCCTGTTAATTTATCTAATTAAAATATTTGCGCAAACTATAAACTTCAAGCTCTTCTGCACAGCTGGCTGAATTTGTAGTGTTCGGTAAATAGCCAGAAGCTGAGTGTGACGTGGCAATGTATAAAAAGCATAAAAAATGTTTTTTGGGCTACAACATGCTGTTAACACAATTGGAATGCATTAGAGTGGACTTTGAGTAATACTGGCCATCGTTGACAATGAAAAATGTCCCCACAATAAGCGGCAGAAGGTTGCTCACGTGACTTCCAAGCCTCCATCTGGGATGCCTAACAGGAAACTATTTCCTCAACACAATGGGCATAAAGAGCGGCAAACAAAAAGTATCTAAAAACAAACAATCAACAAAAGCACAGGACAAGGTTTTGTGCTACGACTATGGAATACCCTTACAGGTGTGTAAACTATAACAAGAGTATATTATATGAATGCAACTTGAATGCTAGCTGTGTGAACTATGAGCCATACCCTCTGACGTCTTTTACAAATATGATTTTATTAAAATGCTCCTTTAATATGTCCATATATCCCTCAGGCAATACCGAGCTGAAGAGTGTCAAGCCGAATTCACGCCAAATTTGACAAGAATAAATTGAAAGCCATTGAAACTTGGCCACCTCCACGGGCTGGAGAGAATCTTTCCTATAAGTGTTGTTGTTGTTCTGATTCGGACAATAGAGAATGGCCAATTGTATAGCAACTGGCTGACAAAGCGGACTTTGTTGCGCTTTTGCCAGTTCATTATTTGTATTTTTATAAATTCACCTTAGTGTGGTTTGTTTGAGGTCATACATTTATAATATTTATATCTTTTGTTGCTAATAATAATAATTACAAAAATAATATACATTACAATCAGAACTATACCCATCATCATAATCATTCCCTTTATTTAAGTATTCATTTATTAACAGAAAGACCACTGTACAGGCCCACTGTGCCGCACTGCACCTGAACAGGAGCCTCTCAGAGTCTCTTCACAGGTGAAACAATTTCAATGGAAGCGGTGGAAAGTTCGTGAGGTCTTTTAGTGCTTTGATACTCATTGACATAGTGACAAGGATATATAGGTTTTGTGTATTGAGTAATGGCAATATGGAGGTGCCATTGAGGGCACAGACAGACGGCTCAGCTATTTGTTCTACATGGTTATGTGTGCGTGTGTGTGTGGGGTCGGAGATGCTTCAGTGTGCCTCTTACATGTGCTGTGTATGTTTGCAGACAGCTCTCAGTTTCACTCACCTGGGGAGGAACGTCCAGTACCATCAGCTCGCGTATGCAGGTGTCGCAGACCAAACAGTTTTTGTAAATTTTGCGTTGAGTTGTCGTTTGATGAGTCTTGGGGAAGTCATGGTAAAAAAATTGCTGTGAAGGAAGCACAAAAATTGATAGACAATAAATAGACACTCCGATTAGTGGGGATTAGTTGAAATCATGAGATCTCATGTGCCGTGTTTAAACCATATTGGGCATTGAAAGGAAATGAAAGAGTAAATTACCTAAATGCATCAAGTTTCATGCTGGAAGCATTGGGTGAATGTTATTGCGCGGCGCGAAGTAGCCCCATGGTCATAAACGTAAAGTTTGATTCAATTACCAGGTCAATAAAAATAAAATCAAGGATATGCGGTGGAACATAAAAGCGACGAGCCGAGTCGAGCTCTGCTCTGCTCAGCGCTCTGAGCTCTGCACTCGACGCACCTCCACCTACTCCCCTCTGCTGTGAATGTATTAATGTTAGTGCGCTAATAGAGTATAAAATGCGCATAATATAGCACACTTAAATTGCCATTCGGCTTGGCCAGGAGCAAAGGAATCAGCGCATGTGGAGGCATGCTTGCATTTGCTTTACTCCTTTCATTTCAATCAGTCCACACAGCTGAAACAGCTGATAAAAGATTCCTTTGCATTTAATAAAACATTCCCTGCTTAAGCTCACGCATTTTAATGGCATTTTAAAGCGTGACGAGTGACACTGACCGCAGTTAATAGCAGAACGTCAAGCAGCTAAGCAGCAGCTGGCAGCATCAAGACATTTCCAGATAATACGTCCACAAAGGCAAGCACTCGTATAACGGCTGGCCAAGGCATTTAAGGCTAACAGCTACATTAATATTTAAACAGAGCTCGCTCGTTTTAGCTATTTGAATCGAAGTACGGCAAAAATGTGCAGCAAAGAGCAAAGTTGAGGTAGCTCAAGTGACCTTGTCCCGCAGCCTTGAACCCCTCGCTGGGGTTAGGGTGTAGACCCTAACAAATTTATCTAAATGACTAGTATGAGTCTGATCAAGATGCATTTATTATATATACCCAACTTGAAAAAAATTTAATGTATATTATAAGTCAATGCTCAGACATACTCGTTCAACTTCTTGACTATATACAAAGTATATAGATATAAAATATAAAAACGACACCCAGCTATGTTTGCATAAGGAAAAAAGAAAAGACTTTGCCTTAGGTCCAAATATTTCGGTAAATAGTTAACTGGATAGCTGAGAATTTTTAGCTAAAAACTGGGACTAGATAGATTGATTTTAATCCGAATTACAAATCGTAAAAGGTACTTATATACATATGCATAATATGTATATAATTAATAAACTTAAGAGAGGGTCTACAGTGAGCTAGGTATAAAATTTTGTGCTTTTGGCTGCAAACTGTAGAAAATATAGGGTTTCCAATATGCTAACAGACTGGCGCGTTTTTATTTGAAAAACTTGTGGTATTAAATTTGATATTTAATTTTCACTATAACTTTTCGAGTAGCAGCTTTTCCTTTTCTGTGCCAGGCATGCCAGTAATAAATTGAACATAATTTCAACTTTATGCAGCAGTTTCTGAAGCGTATAAATACCAAATTGGCAAGTACATATATTTGTATATGTGTATGTATATATGTACTAAATATATATATGCAATGCGAACTTATGGTGAACAGGTAAACGGGTCTTTTTGCGCTATGGTAACAATAAATCACGGGCTCTGCCGGTAGCCAACAATGCTTCTCCCTTGTCTAATTAGAACTTTTAAGCCACGAAAACCTGAAATGCAGCGATGTGACGCATCGGCGAAGCGGAAATCGAATTAGCGGTTCCTCCCCATTCAAATGCATTTAAATGCCATTACAGGAGAGAAACATAGAGAGAGAGAGAGAGAGAGAGAGAGAGAGAGAGAGAGAGAGAGAGAGAGAGAGATGAATAGATGGGGAGAGTGATGGCGAAGCTGGTTGCGAGCTACATAGATGAGGAGGGTTTAATTAAATGTTTAGTCCCCTTCATAAACAACATAGTTTTAATGGAAGCGAACACAACGCGTAATTCAAGCCTGGAAAAGGTTACATAAAATGCAAAATATATTGGATACTAGGGTGTTTTCTAATTAAGCTTGGGACTGTAGATAAAATTTGGTTCGCTTTATAATATAAAACAACCTTTGTATACATGTATATATATACACATATATATTTTGTATTGTATATATATGTATATTTATCGATATATTCATATTAGTATTATCAGTTTACCTGTAATATGCTTGTTTTGCCGACGCCAGAAGCCCCCAAAAATGCTGCTTTAAGGGGGCCCTGCAGCCATGGGGGCTCTGCACCACCCTCCAGAGTGATACGCTATGCCGAAATGCACTTGTTTTGTATATGTATCTCCATTTCAATTGAGATTTTTGTTGTTTTTGCTGGGGTTGTTGTTGTTGCGGCTGTTGTCCTTTGCTGCGATTTAGCTGTTGCTCCTTTAATGGCTGCTCCTGTTGCTTTATTATTGAATCCTGCTGCTGCTGCTGCTGTTGTTGCTTTTGCTGTTGCTGTTGCTGTTGTTGTTCTCGCACTATCACCGACATAATCAACGCTTCTTGTACTACCGATCAATAGCTTCTTAGAATTTGTTGGTGATATTGTACTACTCCACATTATATTGCTATTGTAATTGCGAATATTGTCGTTATTCCGCTTGAACGACGCCAGTTTGATTGCTTTACTCCTAATATATTGGTTAATTAAATATATTTTAATTAATTATCGATTTAGTCCAACTGTGGGCTGCTGGACAAAAAGGCATAGCTTCAATATGTATGACCTCTTCGTGATTCCAAATACATTCTGAAATCAAATGTAAATGAAATTGAAATATTATAGTCTCTGTTAATATTTATTAAAATTAATTGAATTTATCGGGCGTAATGGCTACTGCCAGATGACGTTAACATTCGTTTCATACATGAAGTCAACAACAAATTTCACACCTTAACCAATCGATATTTAGGTCGCAAAGGTACTTATCCTTTAAATGACTATTCAAGTTCAGGCGGATTCAGGCTCATTCCTGTGTGCCATTCCGTTCTCCGTTTTAATTAACAGATAAACAGGCAGCTCTGCCAGTCATGATATCATGCTTAATTGCCCAAGTGCCCGCCCTCTTACGAGGTTTTTTTACTTTCTCTGTACCTGTTGTTTCGCCTTGTTGTTGACTTCAGTTGAATGTTTCTAATTATTTTATTTGCAACAATTAGACATCCATTGTATTCTCAGTGAAATAGTAGTTTTAATTCTAATACATATTTGCCAGAAAAAATTATTAAATTTGTTTCTCGATATCCACAAATCGTCATAGACTGTATTTAAGCAGCAACAATTTTAAGAACAGTAGAGAACAATCAATTTTTTATAGAGAGAGAGATATATAGAGAGAGAGGGATAGAGAAAGAGAAAGAGAAAGAGCTTAGCTATTTCTGTATTCTCACTGACACAACGAAGTCACTAACAATTTGTGCAAAACTTTTTAGATAGTTTGAGTTTTTTTTGCAGGCATGAACTAGACTTTTTATCGCGTTTTAAGTCAGCGGGAGGGCTATTCGAATAATCATTATAATTCGCCATTGCTTTAAAGTCGTTCGTATGCTTTTAAAGCATTTTATTCTAAGTAGGAAAATTTGGATAAACGTTGAAGTTGTTGAAGTTGTAAGCATAAAAACAAAACATCTCATGAGAGTCACTTGGAAATTATTATCCAGCTGCTTTGCGAGGCTGTTTGTACATTCATGGAGTGAAATTATTATTTTTTGTTCAAGGACTTAAGCCCACGCCCATATCACAAACTCAACGATGCTTGAGCTAATGTCAACAAATAAGAAGTCCCAACTGTTTGTTTTTTTGTTTACCAGCCGAGCAACGGCCACCCATCTTCAGCAGGAGTCCTGGACAAGCAAGCGTTATGAAATTAGTTTATGCAAAATTCAATCATTTAAATTCAGGCCAGCTGACTCGTTTCTCAGACTGTGTGGTGCACGAGCTGATATGTGCACCCGCTCGATTCATACTGCTTCTGGTGTAACTTGAATTTGGGACTTGCTTGAGCTTACTTGCGTACGTTTACAATGCTAGTAAGAGTTGGGTGTGCTAGACTAGAAGATATCCTGGGCTATCGGTTTTTCATGTGAAAGTCGTTCGAAAAAGATGATTGATCTGTGTTTCAAGGCCCCAAATCTTACGTTTTCTTATAGGCAAACGGATTGATAGATGGGTAAATTTAGGGTTGAATATAATATGGATAACATATATATATACCACTCGACTTAACAAGCGAAGACTAGCGATATTCATCCAGAAATTAGCACTTCCTACTAACTACTCCTTCTGCCTCTGCGAATTTATATTTTAACAATTCCCTATGTTTATACCCTGTATTTCAATATTTAATAATATTATTTAATATCTAAACTTATAATGCCTAGGCAGCCTAACACAACGAGTTACACAGTGAAATAGGCCGACTTAAACCAGCTCGCCTGACTTAAGCAACCGCCAACATTTACTTTTACCTTCGCATAGTCACAGGAGTGAAATCACATTGAGCATGCCAAATACCTTTTACCTACGTTTAGCGATATTGAATTTAAGTTGATGCTTTAGAATTTTAATATGTCTAAGCCATTGTCGGGAGCCACAACAAGTGTGCCATTGGGGAGGACTCCGAGTTGGAGCAGGCGCGAAGGCAAACCTACTGAAAGTGTCGAAATTGCCGAAACGCGTCGAAATTATGCTGATGTGGTACGTGACCGGATGGTGTTCCACAAATTGAATATGTATTTTAAAGATGGCTTGCATCAAAATTAGGAAGACCAAATGTGCGGCCCCTGGTTTTGGGCACGTCTTTAAGAATTTCCACAGAGAGCGTTTCACAGCAGACATGACGAGGGAAGAGCAAAGTATTGAATTCTCTCTCTATAGTATCTATAGTTTTTCTATTTTCATTATAAATGCAGTTGGCTCATATAATTATTGCGCTGGAAGCTATAAATAAGTGCCATCTAGCTAAATGGCTTATGAGGCGACTCAGCCATGTTTGCCATGTGAGTGTCGCAGTCGGAGCTGCTGTTCATGTCGTTGGTGTGTTTCTTTTTTCAATTTCTACTGTGATCCATAAATCAGCCCGCAGATTACATCCGGAACTCATACGCGCAGCATGGCCAGGCTAGGCATGCCATCCTAATTGCTCTCCACGAATCAGAGCCGTAAATTGCGTATTAAAATTGTCAAAGTCAGTAGTTTACTTTTAATTTATTGTATTACACGAGAGCAGCTTTATGTGGCGTGACTTTCTGCCCAGAATTTTGTTAAGGGCTAAATGAGGCTTAATATAATAACGGAACAATGCGATTGGGAATTTGATATACTCATTCGCGAAGCGAAATGGGTATATTGGTTTTGTGTGATGTCCGTCATGCTGTCGTTACTACTTTAAATTTTGAATAAATTTATTTGTAGACTCCCTCGTCCCTCCCTCGTCGCACCAGGAACGTGGCTAATCGGGATATTCTGTTGCTAGAGATCTTAGATTTTAAACATCTACTTTCAGTGATAATCAAAGACGAAACTTATATACTCGATAGATTTAATGCCATTGACAGCGTGGAAAAAAATCTATATCATTTAAAGTATTAGAGATAGATACTTAGATAAAAGATTATTTTGTTATGTTTGTCGTCCTTTATTATGGTATGATGATGGGATTACCAGTTTATGGTGATGGTTATCAATTTATAAAATACCAATATTTCCATAAGATTARGTTTGGAATATATTAGAATTTATTAATTATGAAAATTATACATATGTAGGTATAATGCTTAACAAGGTAAAAACAAGTAAGAAGACTCTAGTCGAGACTGCTCGACTAGGAGATACCCTGAACCCTCTAAGCTGATATTCTAATCATTCTGCACTTCTTTTATGCACACATGCATACACATGCATCCACACGCACGCATAAGCCTGCGCTCTGCTAACTGCGCAGTAAGCAGCGACTGCGCTTGGGCGGCGCTGCAGTGTGGACAATATTATGAAAATTTATTTGTCTTTTGTAGACATACGATCTTAATGAAACTTTTAGAGTGTAATCATATGGTGAATATGTGTGTACATTCCAAAGCACAAGTCTTTAGTACTTGAAATGCGTTTTTTACAAATTGGTGGAGAAGAGGGCGTGGTATTCAAAATCTGTAAATTACAAAATCTTTGTATCGATTAACTTTATATACAACACAAATTTGAAGACTCCAAATTTCAGCTCTCTAGCTCTTATAACTTCTGAGATAGACGGACTCATACGGACGGACGGACGGACGGACGACTATATCGACTCAGCTCGTCATGCTGATCAAGAATATATATACTTTTTGGGGTCTGCCACGCCTCCTTCTGCCCGTTACATACTTTTTCACAAAACCATTATTTTCATTACCTTGATTTCCCATTTTCAAGACAAAATGACAGAACTTATTATGTATTGATGAGAATTTATATTATTATTAGTATTAGTATATTATCTTTACTAGAAAGCAAAATAATTTTAGTATCTTCGGGGTCGTGGGTTATACAAGATATCCTTATATTCCAGAATGTTTTGAATACCTTTAACACTTTTACAGTTACGTTTATTTACAACTACATCTCTCAATACTCTAAAGCTAGAGCACTAAAATGGAATAGATTCAACTGGTTTTGGATCATGGCTAAGTATTAATAAATGATAATTGGATAGTTTGGTTGTAGTATCACAGTTGTCCTTGACTTTATGGTTATATGACAGCAAATATGATTTGTTTGTAGTATTGACATAAACTATTCTCACACTAGTCATGCTAGACATGTCTAGAGACACTCTAACTACATTCCTCTAACATCCAACGAGCAGCTAGCCGGGCACGAGAGGATGACGCAGGTATGATATTCGAATGCAAATCAATGTTGACCGATTGTCAGAGTCAGGTGTTATAGCCGCAAGCAAAACCACCCAAGTCGGGATCCTCGAAGCGTAGTGCTCTACGGGACATTATTGTCGGGGGCAAGTATCGGTTATTGAGTCCAATAGGCAGCGGGTCCTTCGGGGAGCTATATCGTGCCTCGGGCCTCCACTGCGGCGAAGAAGTGGCTGTCAAGCTGGAGAGCAGCTCGGTTAAGTATCCACAGCTGCCGCGCGAGGCCAAGATATACAACATACTTAGGGGCGGTGTTGGTTTCCCGCACATTCGCTACTTCGGCACCGAGGGCATCTACAATGTGCTAGTGCTAGATCTACTGGGCCCCACCTTGGAGGATCTGCTCAACTTCTGTGCGCGAAACTTCAGTCTGAAGACTACACTAATGCTGGCGGATCAGATTCTGGCCCGCGTGGAGTATCTGCACATGAATTGTCTGCTGCATCGCGACATCAAGCCGGAGAACTTTCTCATGGGCCTGGGCAGTCAGCGCACTCGCGTGTTCATGATTGATTTTGGCCTGGCCAAGAGATATTATCGCCCAAGCACCCGCACCCACATCAACTACTATGAGCGCCACGAGCTCATTGGCACTGCTCGGTACGCCTCCGTGCACGCCCACTATGCGGAGCAGGGCCGGCGCGACGACTTGGAGTCCGTTGGCTATCTGTTGCTCTACTTCATGCGCGGTCGCCTGCCCTGGCAGGGCATCAATGCGGCGACGCGAGTCCAGAAGTACGAGAAAATCGCCGAGAGCAAGTCCACGCTGCCACTGAATATACTCTGCGCCGGTGTGCCCACCGAGTTTTACATGTACATGAAGTACTGTCGCAGCTTGCACTTTACCGAGCAGCCGGACTACGTGTATTTGCGGCAGCTGTTTAAGGTCTTATTCCGGAACCACTTTCTGATCTATGACTATCTCTACGACTGGGTCAACATCAATGTGGAGATGGGCCGCAATAAGCGCATGTTGGCACAGATTGAACATGGCAAGGGTCGAGAACAAGATCAACAGCAGCAGGAGCAGCAACAGGAGGAGGTGGAGGAGGAGGGTGATGAGGAAGACGATGAGGACGAAGACGAGGACGACGACGAGGATGACGACGACGAGGATGAGGCGGAACAGTTGCCAATCAAAAAAAGCTACTATCGAAAAAAACGACCAAACAAATAATAATCAGACCACTTTGGGGAACGATTCGTTTTCCGTTATATCTTAACTATATATTGGCATACATTTGATCATTTTTACATGTTATGCAACACAGAATACCTAGGTGTAAGTGTGCGAGGGCACGTCCACCATATTCCATTATCAAATCATTCGCCTTGCCAGCATTGACACAGCCCCCTAGAGGCAATCTCTGGACGCTGTTTTGTTGTAGTTGCGTATAGAGAGGTTCGCCAGATGCGGGTTTAATACAAGTTCGTTGTACGTATATATGTATATATAGTATATATTCCATACATTTCCTTAGGTTATTAAAGAGGTTAATCAAACTACTTTTGCTTGACAGGGTCAAATGGGCTAGGCCAACGTGTGGGCTTGCTTGGCAAATGGGAAACAACTGTAATTGGCAGAGCATGTTAATAAAAGGGTTAATTAGAGGAGGCACGAGCCCAGCTGTGGACGTTGACATGAGTGTCTGGAGAAAGGAGGTCAGTGAAGGCAAGACAAGAAGGACTACACAAGCCAAGGCAAGGCAAAGCAAAGTATGCTTATTCGCGCTATACTAATGCGGAATGGGGCACACTCTCTCCACACAGATCTACATATGTAAGCATACAATACACAGACAGACAAAGACAGACACACACAGACACACCCACAGACAAACACTTTTACACAAATGGCAACTTAACTATTTTCTGGCCCAAAGCGATGCTGCTAAGCTCTTCTCGCGTGGGTGGCTGAATGAGAGTAAATCTAAAAATAACTTCCTGGCAACACGTACTGCCACCCACGCCCCTTTGCCCTAGCGCCCACGCGTCGCATCTATGTCTTTGTGTTTGCGCCTGGCTGAGCAGGGAGCTTGGGACTTACCCGAAACCAAATCCCTCAAATGCCACATATCAAATCCGTAAAATTACCGCGTTCTGATGCTTGCCTAATGGCACCCGTTGCACACTCACACACCCACACCCACACAGCACAGCGCGATGAAGCATAATAATATTCGGTTTCCATTTAATTTTGGCTATCGATAAAGCTTACGCCACGAAGACTACAAATTTTTATTTTATTTATAAGCCGAGCAAATGACAATACTCAATCCATATTGCGCAGAGCCATCGCCAGCCAATAAACCGATTCCAAATGATCCATATACTGAGGCCTTCATCAACTGTTACGATTTGCAAGTCAATGGGAGGAAGCAGGGACAACGTGCACAGACGACCATCAGATCATTTTCCATCATTCAAATAATTATGTACAGCTGAATAAATGGTTTATTAATATTATTAGCATTATCCAGCCGATTTGGCCCGAGTGGCTGACTTTTGGGGCTCAATGGGAATTTGATGAGATCCATTCCAGCTCGACTCTGCCTCTCTTCATCTTCATATAAATTTCTTTCTGAGCAGCTTTCCTGTTTTCATTGCCTACTTTTCTGGGCAGAAACTATCAACTCGAAGTGGATAGCAACAGCCAGAGCTAAGATGTATTCCCTCTAAGCGAGAGTCAATAAGTAGCACATGTGGCGTATGATTAATGTGTGGCAAGCGAGCATAGAGCTCCTACTTTATGCTAATTCGCCATTTGCTAATACAGTTTGCGGCTGGAGGATGCGAATGCTGTGGACTCATGTGGAATGTTGAACCGGAGGTGTGTATACCAGCTGCCAGCAGCCTATCGAACACAAACACATCAGAGCTAAGCATCGAAAGAAATTTAATAAAACAAGTTGGAAATCTTCAGCTGGGCTTTCTCGACTAGAATATACCCTAAAGTCCGACCAATCTGAGTGACTCACAGAAAATTCCCCATATCCTTCCAATACGCACCTTCACAATCTTTACCATGCAGACCAATACATAATTATTATAATTTGAACACAGTTCAATCGCAATTGGGATTGCAATAATACTTCAAAGAAAATAGGATTCACAGGATAAAGAAAATTCATACGTGTTAGGAAGTTCTGTGTGCATGATATACATATACAGTAGAATTCGATTACAATGACTCCGTTTATAGCGGTCAGTACAGCAAGGGGTATAAATTATCGAGACGACTGTATTTGCAACTGACCTTAAAGTTAATTAGTTTCGTTCAATTTCGGATACTTCCGGCATCTTAGTCTAATTCTAAGCTAAATAAAAACAAAAATAAATATTTCTACATCGATGCGTTTACACATACTGGTGAAATCTACTCGGTTGGTCGAGAGGGTCAATATACATATTTTATTAGACCTGCCACGCCTATTTCTGCCTGTTACCTTCATCTCTAAATTTTATTTTTTCAGATATGAAATCATTTTATTATTAATTATTTTCATTAGTCAGCATTTTTATTTGATTATTTATAAATATCATTAGTCATCAATTATATGAGTCAAAATACGAAACTCAGCTGCACTTAAGAGGTGCTGAAATAACTGAACATTGATATTGATCTCAATCAAAGGAAAACAAAAGCTTTCGATTTTTTGCTAAACGTTCATTTATGTGTGTTGTATGTTGTACCTTCCATTAAAATTTCATAAAGACGTACTTAATATCGGATGGACTGGCAGACGGAAACGATTGCCAATGTAAATCATGAATCCGTATACCGTATGGGCTCCATCAATCCGCCTTTTGCATGTTACATAAAAAATAATAAAGCCGCTTAGCTCAGTTGGTTCCCATTTTCAATGGGTTCCGGATGTGAAAGGGACGAATCTCTGCGGAAAAAGGCTAAATGGGCAGCACTGGCCCAAACGGCAGAGGCCCAAACGTGCAGCAGTGATTCAGTTGCAGGCGTTATGCCATTTATTTGATTAGTTTCTCCCTAGTGGGATGTTCATGTCGCAATGCCACTCCCACTCCCAATACCATTCCCATTCTCGATCCCATTGCCATTGGCGATGCGAGTGTGATTTTGTGTCGCTAATGCATTTTAATTTGTGTTGAAAATGGCGTCTGATTGCTGCAATGCTCGCCTAGAACACATATTACGTAATTGACTTGGCAGCTTAGTGGCGAGCTATCGGTCTCTTTGGCGACTAAATCTCCAGGTGGGCAAAGCAGCTAACTGCAAGCCACTGCAGAGCGTTTAATGAAATTATAATTGAGCTCTGCTTTGGCTTAAATTTTTAATTAATGCGTTTTGTTCTCCAGGAATTTGTGCTCCCTGAGTAAACGTTGCTGAAATGAAAATGAAATTAGCTCACCTTTTGCCTTGCGAGCTAATTACTTAACATTCTGCCAATTAAGCTAGCTTTAGTTGTGTGTTTTTCGGGGCGCGTGCTCGACTCATTTGCAAATTAGGCAAATATTGCCAATAATCAATCTTGTTGACAAGACTTGTTGATAAACACATTTTGGGAGTCAAACTATTCAGAGGGAAAGTTGATATAAAACGGTTTGGATTGACTTACTAATTGAACGTTTTTGCAGAGGCAAACATCAAATATTGATTTTATTCTGCGTACATATCGAAGCTATTAAAATAGCTCAAAGGATGTCAAGCTTCCAGTAATTTCTAATATTTATATTTGTTGATAGAATGAAAACAGAAAATTGCTCGTATCAGATATTTGCACTTAGAAGTATATATACACACAAAGTGAAAAATGAAGAAATTAAGAACGCTGCTACTCCCCACATGGGCGTTTACATATATGTGAGATTATTGATTTTGGACTGTCAACCCGAATTTCTATCCCTTAGGCCCTAAAATAGCATTTTTACTAACATACCGGATAATTCATTTTCCGATTTGCTACTTCCCTCCCATTATGCCCATTTAGCTTTCGTGAATGAGTATAATTGAAAATTATATATGACTATAAATTATATTAAATAAAAACATGTTGAAATATCTACATATATTAACTTCACAGACTTGGAGCAATGATTACTCAGTTCCTCGGGTGGAATTCAGCCCATCTCTTGCTATATTGCAGAGTTCGCAAATAAAAGATGATCGTTTTTTTGTATATGCTCTGCTTCGTATCATAACCGAAAAAATTCTGCAGACACGATCTCGCTCTGAGCGGCACTCTTTGTTTTTTTTAGAATCGGTTTCGGTCAGACGCATTGCAATGACTCATTCGTGTGACGGTCTCAAATAACAGTCGCGTAAAGACCAATACGATTGCTTCACTTAACTCAAGCAAAAGATCAGTGAGTGACTTGAGCGAAACGAAAACAGAAATAACAGTCTCGCTCAGAGCGTGACCAGACCTGAGCCAGTCGCGACAAAATCAGTTTCTGTCTGAGTCTTTTTAATTGTGTCAGTGAAAGACACTTAATTGCAGACAACGAAAAAGTGTCAACTGTTATTTGCGAGCTATGCAATATTGTTATTTGATTAAAATTRCGAATTGATTCTATTGTCCTTTGCTCACTTTTTACAATCAATTTCTGTTATATTTGTTTTTAATGCCCATGTATAACTGATGAAAGAGCCTCTTTGAGCTGTCAACCCTTTTTAATAGGCCCAAAATTTGCTTTTAAAATTAGCCAGGCAGTCAAATGAGCTACCATCAGCAGCTACCGTCTAGCAGTTGGCAGGGGACAGGATTGTCATTCGCATTGTCATTGCCGTATTAATTGTTTCGATTGCCGGCAGTGAAAATCCTTTGACTTTTGCTGTGCGTTGACATGCCAATACGAATCCTTATGCAGGATTTCGAAAAGTTAAACCGAAGGTCAGAATGAACTTTTCTTGTCAGTTGTGGTGAGTTTGTATACTGCATTAATAATGTATTTGGAGCTCGCATGAATGTGATGGTCAGCAAAATTCTCTATATCTGTCTCTTTTACTCATTGGCTTTGTCTTTGTCGTAATCGCTGTCGTTGTCTTTGTGTTTTTCATGGGTTTCCTTTCACTGCCGCGTAGCCATTGACGTGTCCCAAATTAAATGTGTGTCTTAGCCGGGAACTAAATTGCCTTGGTAATTAGTCGTAGGGTCTCGGTTACTATAAGGCGATTCCTTCACCTCTTTATGCCAGCCACAAATCAATAGTTTCCAACTAAAATTGTTTTAAAATTTAATAATGTATAAGGTNTATATATATATACTATGTATAATTCACTAAATCTAAACACATTTTTTTCTCTCAAAGAGAAACGAGTTTAAAATTAGTTTATGTGAACTGACCAAGATTGAAATTATGTGAGTCGTGGAATTAATTTAATTCGAATTCATATTCACAGATAACAATATTAGGGGGTTATTTTTGTAGAGCCTCAATTACATAGAAGAGAAAATTGGTTTGCAAGTTGGAGCTGGGCTCAGGAATTTTATAGCTCTGATATCCTTAAGATTACTCCCAAATATAAATTACCAAAAATAATTTTACCACACTTTTTAAAAGCAGGAAGTGATTATTTATTAAGCTACTTTTTACCTTTGTAATTCATTTATTTATAAAATCTTCATATTTAGATATATATTGCCTATTGAAATTGGATTGCTAAAGGAGACAAGTACAACCGTTCATTAAATTTATTAGATGATACTTGGGGATGGGATATACGAAGGGTTTTTAAGAACATGCTGATTCATTAATAAAAGTGTGTATATTTAAAGCCGAGTTAGAAGATGAAACCTATCCGCTATCCACATGCTCTGGGGTATGAAACACAGACTTAATTTTAATTAATATTATTGAAAGACTTATGCGAGTTATAAGGGCAAAAAATAAGACGTAGATAAAGGAAGAGAGAGAGAGAAAGAGAAAGAGAATGTAACCTTTATTTATACTTTAGTGCAGCTTGGACTTGCACTTTTAGTTCCGCGATGCTGCAGTTGCTATTATTGTTGTTGCTTGTGTAGTTTTAGTTGTTGTTGCTGTTGCCGTTGGTGTTGATGCTGCGAGTGTTGTTTTTGCTTTGCACAGGGATAGCAACACAGCAGATAATCCATCATCATTATGCATTTGATTGTTATTGTGTTTGCTGCTGTTGTTGCTGTTGCTGTTGTCTTTTATTTAACGTTTCGTATTGTTGTCGGCGTTGCTTGGCCGTGGCAGCTTCAGTTGGCACTCGTCTATTGCTGGCAGCAGCACAATATATTCCTTCTTATTTATTGCTTCTTTTTTTAAATATTGTTCAAACAGGAGAGGAGTGCGGGAATAGAACTGCTGCCATCTGATGGCTGAAGGGTCAAAGCTTAAGGGTCTCGTTTAGCTATTGTTATTGTTACTGTCACGTGGCTGTCTCTTCGGGGCGACCTTTTTCGCTGTCTATAGCATGATTCAATTCGTGGCAATTAACAAAGGACTACAACGAGCACGTGCGTCCCCCTATGCAGCCATTTCGCTGTGTCATGGAAAAATTTTACAAAACATACATTTTGATTTCAATTTGAATTTCTCTTTGATTCACTCTTAAATTTTCGTTCAAGATTTTTCTGTGCTGATTAGCATAGTTAATCGAGAGAGAAGAGGAGTTTCCCAGTTCAACTTTTATATTAAATCCCTGCTTAAAATAGCATACGGACGACAATTAACTAGAGCAATCAATTATACTTGGAGTGAGTTAAATTATGAATTTTGGTAATAAATATATTTTATATAGTCTTCAAATGCATTTCTCAGAAGCGGAGAGCTTGAAGCCGTTCACTCAACTGGGATTATAGGCATCAAGCTAAGAGATTTGCTACTGAAGCTATTTTTGTTTTTCGTATATCATTTCATTGCCATGAGCATGGGCAATTGCATTGGCATGGGCTCATTAGATGCTCGGTCAGAGGCTAAATCGTCGGGGCATATGCGCGCCAATAAGCGATATCGATGCTGAAGATGTTGTCTCTGTTGCTGCTGTGATAATGATGATACCTTATGTAACTAACGCTGCATAAATCCGTGCACAAACACACCTATATTGACTCCCCCCACACGCCCAGACTCGCACACACACACACACACCGACACTGAAACTCACACCCACACAAACACACGGATATAAAGACTTATACTAACTTTTCTTGCTTAACTTTTAATGCTAGTTCCCATGGCTTTGATGCTCTTGCTTTAGTCCGATGCTATACGAATATATGTCTATTTATTTATAATTTAAAAAACTCTCATATAACTCATATATCAATTTTGCTTGCTTGCATAACTATTGAAAAGCTTGACTATTTATTTTTGTCGCGTTCTTTCAGCAGCGCCAGGCAGCGGGAAGAACATATTGGGACACTTTGCCACTTCACATTTGGTCTGATTTTGTTGGCAACGCATACATGGATACTTGCACGGACATGGATACAACACACACACACACACACGTACACGTACACGTTTTGCGAGCTTGGTTTCCGAGGCTAACAAGGCTGCGGCTGCGGAAGCTGCTGACGGTTCATGTCGCGTCGGTGGACCATTTTTGACTGGCTTCGAATCGAAGTTATTTCAAATAAAGAGATCTTATAACAGTTGTTGTTGTTATTGCTGCTGCTGCTCTGTTCTTGCTCTGGCATCTGTGCCTGAGAGAGAGCCAAAGAGAGCTCCCAGTCGAGAGCGTAGCGTGACCCTTGTTGCATATGCTGTGCGTATTGCATAGCTTCGTGCGTAGTGCACGTGGGGAATATTAGCGACGACAGAAGTTGCCAGATAGCTAAGAAATGCATAGATAAGTCTATTGCCACTATAGGAGGTTGACTGAAAGTGCTAAGGACTTTTATCAAAATTTTATTCAATTGGATTTCCTTGAACTCAACTCTAATCCTTATAAATTAATGGGTAAAAAACAAAGTAGACATTGAGCTAGAGTAAAAGAATAAGACTAGAGTTTTCTATAGTCTATGTATAAATATAGTCTTTGTAAATATACAAAAATTGATATATTTATTTATTTGAATTCACTCATATAGTTATAAACTAATTGTGGCACTGCGATTGCGCTAGACTTATATAATCTGAAACCATCTGGCACCATGCAAATCTCGCCCGTCTCCCTCAGTGCACAGCTCTTATACTGAATCTCCTCTTCTACTATGCTTTTCTCTGGCTTTTTCAGTTACTCTTTCTCTTTCGTGTTTCTCTTTAGCCGACATGCGCACTGGGCAGCTGAATAACTTCTTTGAGTCCCAAACTGGTAACAACAACAATAATAATAACTATTTTCTACAATGGCCATAATCTACTTATTTAGACAACCGCAGGACCAAATCGTGTTTAGTTAGCGCGCTGACAACCTTGCGGTAGGCAGGGCAAGGCAGCCCTCCACACAGCCAACTACCCAACCACCTATCCGCCCACACAGACGCAGACACAAATAAAGTACATATGCATGTTGTATAAGGAGTAGCAGAGTAGTGAGCGCTTCTTCTTCTTATATATATTTTTTGAGAATATGCCCAAAGGTTTGGTAAAAGCATTGACCTGATTACACGCCCACACTGACACACAGACACACACACGCACACAAAAACGCCAAGATTTATGCAGAGCAGAGAATACGACACCAAAGGAGCGCCAACAACAACAACAACAGCCGCAACAACAACAGCAGCAATAACAAATAGCATATAAATCTAATGTTAAACTTTTGCCACTGTCTCGGCATGGAGCCATGAAGGTGCTTCCTCCCCCCACTTCCTGTCTGACTGTCAGCGACAACAAAGCGGCAGACACAAGTGACAGACAGAAGCAGGCAGACGCACGTACCCCGCCGCCCTGCTAGAATTTATGATCTCTTATTCTTTGGATATTTTATTTTTAGATATCTTTCTCACTTATACGAAATAAATAATATAATAAATTGTACGCTTTTTATGCCATTTTTTCGTAATTTCTCTGCTTTCCTATTCATATTTTGGGATGACAATGTTAACATTTCTTTGGCTTCGCTGACAGCATCACTGACTCGGCCAGCAGCAAAACAGGATATATGAAAGAATGAATAAAGTGGGCAAAGGGATTTAAATAAAAAGCTGCAAATTTGACATTTGCTTTTCTATTATATAGGAAATGCTTAAATAATCGCAGTCGCAAATATTCCCACGAGTTTTTTTTTTCTTTTTTTTTTTTTTTTTTTTTTTTTTTTGGTAGTAGCGATTCATATAATTGAAACCATGTTTGTCCTTAAAATGTATCTAGTAAATGATAATGATACAGCTGCAGCAATATAAGACTTTGTTTATAATTATGAAAACAATAAAGAGTGTTGATATCGGGAGTTACTGAGTGTAGAATATTCGTTTTGCGGCTTAAAGGATCCAATTTCCCACAACCCCAATTGACATACATTACCAATAAAGTAAGGTAACTGTAATTTTAAGTTTGAAGCTTAAAAACTGTGATACCGATTCTGATTCCAGGGTTTCTGAGATACCGGAAAATGCATTTTCTTATTTGCCGTGCCTTTAGTGAGCGGATCGGAAAATTTTTTGTATATATTCCAAATTTTAGCTTCAATAACGCATAGATAGTTTTCATAGGTATAATGTACAAAACCAGGTAAATCTATTCGTTTAATTTTCGTGAATGAGTATACAAAATACAATAATTATGTATAGTTTATTGCGATAGCAGAGCTTCAAAATACGATGACGCAATATTTTACTTTTAGTATATTCCCTCATATATAGGAAAAATCCAAACCATCCAATCAAATGAAAGAAAGAATGAGAGAGAAGGCGTGGGAGAGTGAGAAAGAGAGAGTGTGTGTGATAAGGAGGGTTTGTTTATGTTTTGCTGGGGACAGAGAGAGCCGGAATTTGCGATAAAGTGCGTGGGTCGAGTCAAGGGCGTGGGAATCGGGTGAAGGCCTTTTCTGAGAGCTAGATAAGAGCTTTACTCTACATTTTTTCTTCGCCGTCTTCTTCTTCAAGACAGTGAGAGGAAGAGAAAGAAAGAGAGATTGATAAAAGTACTTTGTTTAAATTTCGGTGAATGTGGAACTTGGGAATTACAGCTGCGATCGTAACAAACTCCGATGTAAGTGAGTAACAAACAAATTCTATTTAAAAAACGAGGCCAAATACAATTAATTAATAAATAAATATCTATGAATTCATATCAAACCCTTTAACCACCTTTTATCACCTTAGAAGCCATTTAGTTCAATAAAGTAGCAAAAAAAAAAAAAAACGTATATAAACTTATATATACGTATATAAACTTATCAAGGAATACTAATGCTTAAATAACTATAATTGGGGTTTTGTTAAGTGAAAATAAAGTAAAACCTGTTTTTTTTATGACCAAAGTATTTTTATTAGGCAGTCTTTATTTATGTATGCTACGACCTTTACATCTCTCCTATATATGTGACGTTAGTCAATATAAATATATTTATGCATTGCTAAAAACTTTTCTTAGAATATTTCATTTGATTTAAAATTAATATTATGTATCGCGGGTATCAAATCTCTTAATTCTTTAATGGACAGCAAGAGGGAAATTTATTTGACACAATAGATTTAGTCAAGTATAAAAATAGAAAGTGATGAATACAGCTCAATACATGTAAATTAATTATATGGCTTATCCGACTGCCCTAACTGAGCTAGAAAAAACGATGTTGCAATATTTTACTCAAGGATAAGGAAGATAAGCGTATGTTAGCTGAAAAAGCGATAGATCTGTCTGGAAAAAGGCTAAATTGACAACAGTGAGCACTACACACACACACAGATACACACATATCCATAAACACCGACACACCCACACATTGACATATATGTTGAGATATTTTCTTACATGTACTTTCAATCAGTTTGTTATTGCTTTTGCTCATGTTGTTGTTGCTGTTGTTGTTGTTGTCATTGCTCGCTTGTGCTTAACATTTGTTCTGGCCCCATTTCCTGAAGGCCACGTAGCTCGAAAGTAATTTGCGAATAAATTTAGATTTTAAGGAGAATGGGGCAAATACACACACCAGCACACACACACACACACAGAAACACATACAAGCACGCGAAACTGTTTTGATTCGAATATTTGATATTGATTTCTAATTTTTCATGCGGGCCATCGTACGCACAGACGACTGTAGTCGAATGTACGAATATTTATATTCCAGAATTTGTTATTCACTCAATTTAAAATTGTATATTAATTTTAGGCATATTAAAGCTTTATTAAATCTACCCTTTGCCTTTTACTTCCGTACTAATAAAGTTGTTAATACATGTAATGGATCCAGCCAGCTCTTATCTGGTTAAGTAAAGTCGCCACCGACAAAAATCGATGTGCCTAAAGTAGGGATAAAACAGATATTTTATGAAACAACTCAGAAAGCCAATGGCACACTTTGCAATTGCACATTACACATTTATCAGGAGCAGCAGGAGGCGAAACTTTGTACCTTATTTTATAATTGTGGGAATCTCACAGTCTGTCCATTGTGGTTGACTGTAAATTGTATAGACTAGCTATAGGCCATAGATTTTCATTAACATGCACAGACGGTCAAGCTGTCAGGGACAGAGAAGAGTAGAGCAGACTAGAGCAGAGCACAGAGGCCCAATAAAGTCGGCTTGTCTTAACTAGTGTCGAGTAGACGTGTCCTTGCCTTATGTACTTGGCCCCTGGAAACACCGATTGTATACGCGCTCACAATTTGAAATGAGTATATTGGTTTTGCGAGCTATCAGTCATGATATATGTCTATCTGTTAAGACTTCAGCTATTTAACTATATATTGAGATATATAATGTAAGGATTACATGGTTAAAACGCAACAGTTCTGCATATTCAGCTGGGCCAAATATAATATTTTTCATAGATTTGAGCGTGAGCGAGTATGAAGCGGTCAGGTGCAGTCGTAGTTCTGGGTGTAGGCGTTGCGTGTGAATTTTATTTTCAAAGACCACGTTCCTCTAGGTCTGGAATCTACATGGACTCGCTATGTATTTATTTAACCGAAGAATGAGTGAAGGGAAATTTGATTTACCAGCAAACTTTTAGTGGCTCGAGATTTTCGTTTTCATTACCATCGAGGACTCGAAGGAGGCAAGTTAGCGACAGCAGCGATAATATCAATCGACAATAATTTCAATTCAATTATTGGTGTCAAGCTAATTAACAGTTTGATAACTGTTTAAAAGTTGAGATGCTTAATTATTGACAAGTGTTGAAGAAAGATTAAAGAACTTTAAAAATTTTGTAAATTAAATGACATAATAAATATTAACAGTTGGGACGAACTAAGCTCGTTCTCATTTCTCACTCACAGGACATAGGATAAAAGGATAAACTTCAACTTTGCTACACGATCTTGAGACACGATGGCTACATCAATGCAGCCCGGCAAGTACACGGGCTTGGTTGCCGACTTGATGCCCAACATCCGGGCGATGCGATACTCTGGACTGTTCATGCACAACTTTACTGGCGGGAGCATCTTTTTCAAGAGGGTTTACTCATCCGTTCACCTGGTGTTGATCGTCATGCACATAGGATTCATCCTGGTCAATCTGGCGCTGAATGCCGAAGAGGTCAACGAGCTGTCCGGCAATACGATAACCACTCTATTCTTTACGCATTGCATTGTGAAGTTCGTCTACCTGGCCGTGAATCAAAAGAACTTTTACAGGTGACCAGAGCTAGTGCTGAGATTGCGAACCGTAAATATAAGCTTGTTTCTGCTAGGACCTTGAACATCTGGAACCAGGCCAACACGCATCCCCTATTCGCGGAATCGGATGCCCGCTACCATTCCATAGCCTTGGCCAAGATGCGCAAGCTCTTCTTTCTGGTCATGCTGACTACGTTCGCTTCGGCCACGGCCTGGACCACGATCACCTTCTTTGGGGACAGTGTGAAATTCGCAGTCGACAAGGAGACGAACTCTAGCATCACCGTCGAGATACCCAGGCTGCCCATCAAGGCCTTCTATCCGTGGGATGCCAGCCACGGCATGTTCTATATGATCAGCTTTGTTCTGCAGGTCTACTACGTGCTCTTCTCCATGGTGCACTCGAATTTGTGCGACGTCATGTTCTGCTCCTGGCTGATTTTCGCCTGCGAGCAACTGCAGCACCTGAAGGGCATCATGAAGCCACTCATGGAGCTGTCCGCCTCCCTCGACACCTACAGACCCAATTCGGCGGCGCTGTTTAGATCGCTCTCGGCCAACTCCAAGTCTGAGCTGATACACAACGAGGGTGCGTGGTACTTGGCGTAAGTCGAGATTTGATTCAGTCTTAGTTAAAATTCAATTGCAGAGAAGGAGCCCGTCACCGACATGGACATGACGGGCATCTATAGCTCTAAGGCGGACTGGGGAGCACAGTTTCGAGCGCCATCCACGCTGCAGTCCTTCAATGCGGGGGGAAACGGCAACGGCAACGGCATGGCCAATAATCCCAATGGACTCACCAAAAAGCAGGAAATGATGGTGCGCAGTGCCATCAAGTATTGGGTGGAGCGTCACAAGCACGTCGTCCGGTGAGTTCAATGCCGAGTCTCAACTGCGATTTGTGTGCAACATACAAATTCAACAATAAGATAGTTGGGCAAGAGCTACAATCGGCTTTGATTGTGCGCCAGTGCTGCAAGTGTAGCCTTTTTCCAAACATGATCTAACAGATCTTTTTGATTGATTTAGATTTATTATATAGATGATAGAAAATACGAATTTCTGATATGGCACTTATCAAGAAATGATCATATCTATATATATTTTTTCGCCAATTGCTTATCCAGTTTGATAGTAAACAGCTTTTATGAGTTCGGACGAATGAAGATTACGGTCAGTGTTACTTCATAAATGTTATAATTTATTATTATGATTATCGATAATATTTGCTGGCATATTCACGACTTGATAAAAAGTTTTCGTTTTCTACAGGATAATATCTAATAATAATAATAAAAAGACTGCTAATATTAAGTATGAAAAATATATCAACCGAATTCGCGATGTGAACTTCGTTACATTTCTCTATAGATCAGTTATAGATTCACGAGTTATATAATAAAATATATATCATATAATTTATATCTTGTCAAGTAGTGGATCGGTATTAAGACTATACGCCCATTCAAGAGCAGCAAGATTTACATACATATCATATCCTATTATTCCTCTTGCTGCTACTTTTACTCTTAATCTTCCTCTTGCTCTCCGTTTCTCTTCACTAACGTGTCTAGTTTGGTGGCTGCCATTGGAGATACGTACGGAGCAGCCCTTCTGTTGCACATGCTTGTTTCGACCATCATGCTCACCTTGCTCGCTTACCAGGCAACCAAGATCAATGGCGTCAATGTGTATGCGTTTACGGTAGTTGGCTATTTGGGCTACGCACTGGCTCAGGTGTTTCACTTCTGCATTTTTGGCAACCGGCTGATTGAAGAGGTGAGTAAGCATTGATGGAGTTGAGAGAGTAGTGACTTATAGAATATATGCCCGCACATAGAGCTCATCTGTGATGGAGGCTGCCTACTCTTGCCATTGGTACGACGGCTCGGAGGAGGCCAAAACTTTCGTGCAGATCGTTTGCCAGCAGTGCCAAAAGGCTATGAGCATATCTGGTGCAAAGTTCTTTACCGTCTCGCTGGATTTGTTTGCCTCGGTACGCCCAGCCCTTCCATTGTCCTTCGCCTCAAAATGTATAATACTTTGTGAATTGCAGGTGCTCGGTGCGGTGGTCACCTACTTCATGGTGCTGGTGCAACTCAAGTGAGCTATGCTCCATCTGATGAAATTTTATTGCTTGTTGTCCGAGTCAACAAATTGTGTCAAAGTTTATATCTAACGATAGCTGCGAAGCTACGAGGCTACAATTACGCATACCTTTATTAAGGTGCATCCTCGCCACCCCGACCAACACCGGCTCGACAGATAATTGCAATTACCTATCGAATATCAGCAGCGCAAGTCTTAGTTTTATACTGCTAGCGAAGCACCTCTTCTACCCATATTTTTCACTTTTATTAATTATTGTAATGAAAGCAATAGACGCAATCGCAATGTGTAGTACAATTTCGTATTTATATATATATTCAAAATTTGGAAATAAATTTGATTTGAAACAAGTAATACTGATTTGGCTCTTAAGCACTCTACAACACAAAGACACTACGCATTTGCTCAGGGAGGACAACACTATTCGGTATTATATATACATGTACGGAAAGACGAATCTAATGAAATCTGGGAGCTACAGGTAAGAATAGACTGTTTGACTGAGAGATAAACTGAACTCTGTAAGCTCTTATACTGCATATGTTTATAAACATACTAAACGAGCAACACACTCACATATATACATACACACAGCCAAACACACGAACATATAAACACGCGATCTGTTAACTACGCACTTTACGCAGCGACTTCACTTTGGCTGCGTTTATGTGCTTTGCTATGGGAAATTAATTATTGAATAACTTTCCACGTGTGTGTATTAGCCACAGCACAACGCTCAAATGGGGAGCAAGTGTGGTAATTATAAAAAATTACACATATACAAAATATCTGTATTTATTACACCGACACAATAAATCGGAAATCGTAGTTCTTGTGCTATCAAGTTACGCTTCTAAAACCAAATGAACTTGAACCTCAACTTAGAGATGAACTAAAAAAAATAAAAAAGTGTATAATGCTATATACGAGAGGGGGTCTTTTATATAGACGGAGAGAAGGAAAGCCGTGCAGATAGACGTGGGCTAGGTCGATTTAACTCTGAAATCATATTTGAATACCCTACCCCGCTCTACTTCATAATACAAAGAAAGGATAATTTAATCCTGTTTGAGGTAATTGAGTAGGGGAAAGAAGTGAAATGGCATTTCGTCAAGCACCCTCACATACAAATGCATGCACGTATGTGGGAGATGGAAGTGATCTATGGCGACTCCATTTATTTTACTTTATTTAATTAAACTCAGAGCGCAGTGAGTCATAATTTCGTGTGGTCTCTTCACTTTTCGCTTAAAGTCTTAACCTCTTGTCTCCTGCACCTCCTCTCTGTCATTGCCCCATCTTCTATTCTTTTTTCTACTACGATGGCGCCAGACTGGGTCAAAGCGACTCTCTAGCTGTGAAGCCTCGTTCTGCGCTAACTTCACAGCACTAGAAGATTACCAGTTCTCATTGGTTTGGACTTTTGAGCCTCTGCTTTATTTCATTACGTAATGCTGCTAAAAAATACTTCTTTAAACTAATGGTATGCTAACACTTAATGGGAATCTGACATATAGAAGTTGTAGTTGGCTGATCGACACTTTCATAGAGCCAGCCAGCGGGATGGAGAGGTAATCGAACAGGAATAGTTTGGATTTCGTTCTTGTTTTGTCTTTGATATACCCTATATATATATAGAGTAGATTTTCTCTTTGCTGAATTCGGAATAATAATATACCCTCTTCCGATTTCCTATTTCCCATTAATTAATATTAATGACAACTATTAAATGCTAAGCAGAGAAAGAAATGCAGTTAATTCGAATTGCACTTTTATTATCTTCAGGTTGACTCATTTTACGTGCCACGCCCACAGTCAGTCGCCCGCCATCTGCAAAGACATTGGCACTGCTCGCTTCGCTGCATGCCAACTATTTTGACGGACAGATGAGCAAAACTCGCTTAATTCAATGTAAATTATTAATGCCGATTTCTAGTCTGCCATTTCTCGTTTTAGCTTCATTTTTTCCATTTTGTTCATTTAAAATTTTTGGCAGCCGCATTAAAAGCCAACAAAATCAACTGTTAGCTAAGTCCGTTACTGCAACAATTGAAGTTGGCAATTAAAGTGTGTTGAGTGTTTTTTTGAACGAAAAGTGGCAAAAATGTAATTTAAAAGAAACACACATATACGCACGCGCACACACACACGCACACACACTGAATCACACATTTTGAAAGCGCGCTTTATGTTTATGATTTCTCGAATTGCCCAACCCCAGCTCCAACTGCAACTGAACTGAACCGAGCTGAACTCAACTCGCACTCGGCTGGAATTGCGGCCACGGCAATACGGCAATACGGCAATACGGCAATACGGCTCTACGGTCGTACGGCTGTAGACCCGTCGGCCTGGAGTTGGGGGCTGCTGCTGCCAGATGGAATTTTATGTAGCTTCTAACAGCTTTCATTTGCCTGACACTAAACCAGTGTGCGCGCTAAGGAAACACGAAATATGTACTTTTATTCGCGTCTATGGGCTTGTAACAACAAGTTACCTTCCTCTTCTAAAGACTTTGCCCAGACCTGCTCGTCTTCAACTGTGTCTCTTCCCCTCCTCTCTCTCTCTCTCTCTATAGCGGTAGGGCTACCCTGCTCACATGTGCGTTAAAGACTAGCTGGTCTTCCTCTTCCTCTTTGTCTTCTGCCAACATGGAGTGGTTGCTGTTAATTTCTTTATGGCACAGACTTTCGTCTGGCAATGAAAGTTTCTTGACTTGCGCACACTGCAACAACAAAAGTGGGTAGCAGCTGCTTAATTTATTAGTCTACTGTTTAATTAGTTTTCTACTCTTCATCATTGTAGTTGCCCCTAAGTAGTTGTTGCTTGGCTTCAACTGTAGACAGGTGAGGAAGAAAGTCCAAAAGGGGCACATTTCCAAGACTTTAATTTCTTATTTAAGAGATATATGAGTACATATACACACACACATATATACATTTTATATATACCTTTTCAACACGATTTGACATTGTTTCTTGAATTTGTTATAGCCTCTGCGCAAATTCCTTTGGGTAGATTAATAAACTGTTAACATTACATGTGCAGCATTAAAGTGTTTGYTTGTTGTTTCTTTTATTGCTGCCAACATCGACTGACCCTAAACTTTGCATACTGCATAAATTACATAATTATGTGGCGAAAGCTGAAACTGAAGCTAAAGCTTGAGTAAGCCCCTTTTTCATATCGTCGATCGGTTTTATATACACGTATGTTTATTTTGATATATTTACTTCTTATTTCAAGCAAAATATTAATAAAGTTTGATCCAACATATGGTCTTCAATTTCCCAATGTATGTATAATATACAGTCGAGTCTCCATAATTCGTCCTCAGATAAATCGAAAATCACGATAAATCGAAAACATGTCTATCCCTTTGAACAAAATTCGATCTGAAAAAACAGATCCTCTTGCCATTTCGAATGATCGGGATTATACTGTACATTATTATGATGTGATATTATAAAATAAATAGGAAATAGTGTTCTATATTTTCTAATCCCTAGAAGGTTGATTCCTGTAGTGCAATAGTACTTGCATTGAGCTCTTGTAACAGTATCCGAATGAGTTTGTGTCTAAGCTTTTCTTTTCTTTTTTTTCAACTATCACTCCGAGAGAGAGAGAGAGAAAAACCGACAGCTACATATCATTGCGCAATGCAGTATATCTAGAATCCGTTATTGGGCGCAGTAATAAAAGTATTATTATAAAAGTATTTTATTAGTGAAGATCAAGAGTATGATATAGATAATATAGATGAATTGACAGTGGCCATGGCATAAATATGCCAACCAGCAAGCGTTACCTATATACATACCTGAACACCTTATCAATGGACAGTGGACTTATTTTACATTTCTAGTTTAAGCGCTTACATTTTGTAAGCATATTACAGAAAACTAATGCAATGGACTAACAAGTAGCATATACAGATTATATAAATATTTGGAAAATCTGGTAATATGTAACATTAAAAGTTTTTATAATTATTGAAATCAATTTCAGATATTTCATAAGTTAATAAATATTTCATATGATATGTTAGTTATCCTTGGAACCAAACCCGCGTACTTTCAAGATCATGAATGCCAATATGCTGGACGTCAAGAAATTGAGTCAATACCCAAGCACACTACTGGAGTATGGAATATCGCTCACGAATGCACATTGGTGAGTGTTAATGGCTCCCGGCTATCGACAATCAGTGCAGTATGGAAAACGTTGTTCATTTAAATGAAAATGAGGAAATGCTATTGCCACTGACACAAGTTCAACGGCTCTAATTTTGTTCGCACAAAAATTTCAGACTGCGGACTGCTTTGCTTTGCTAAATTGCTTAATTAAAAAATGTCGAAAAAAAAAAACAAAGAAAAACAAAAATGAAATAATTATGGCAAAACAGATTTGAGTGGAAATCCAATGTGCACGCAAAGGCGTTTACATTATATTCGCCAATTGGCTGCGATTTTACTCCACATTTTGTGTGCTGCTTAGATTTCGCCATGATATGGCGGCGGGCCTAAGTAATATTTATTACTTTACTTTTTTGCCAATAGAAAGAAGAAATATGTTTGTAATTATATATGTATATATATACATATATATAAAATAGTAATAAGCAAAGCAACGCATTTGACACCTCTAGACAATCAATGAAAAGAAGTAAGAGTTTTCTGATCTTCGTCGTTTGTTGCGGACTAATAAATACTCTGAAGTCAGATTCGACAATCCACTTAAAATTAATTCACAAATATTCAACTTGGTGGAACCTCTACCACAATCGTAGCTAAGGCAAATGTAAGGGGGGAAAATGGAAGTCAAATGAAAGCAATGCATTCGAAAAGAAGTATATTTATTAATCTATTAGGTATATGAATTTATAATTGAAGATTATTTATTTATTTGAATGATAGACCAAATATACGATATATGCATATATAAGAGCCGTAGAATTAAATATTTAAATGAGTTGTTATCAAATTGAGTAGAACAATGAGTTTTGTATTTTCTTAATTTATTAATTTTAACTGGAAATAATAAATTATAGATTAAATTTAAGCCGTCTTATCAGTGCTATATCCGAATCTTGTGTGCGAGATTGAAACTCTTAGTTCCCTTAGAACCCAAGTTCTTAATGAGAAATAGATGGGCAGTTGGACTCTTAGCATATTCGTCACATAGTTATAAAGAATAAAAATTTCATGGGGTCGCAGCAAACGTCTTCTGCCAGTTGCATGCATGTTAATGAAACCATCATACCCCCAATTCGCATTTTTGATGGCCCCAAGAGCAATTAAAATCAAAAGACTTAAGGCACAAACTTGACTGGCGACAGTCGCAACGTGGTTCGAAACTTGGCTGAGCAGCTGACAGAATTTGGGTCTGACCGTTGGTTGTATTGCTGCAGTCGGAACGGCTTGAATGACCGGCAGTGGAGCGTGGCGGGTCTGTGGCCGGCGTGCGCTCATTGAACTTATCTTGCGCAAATGGCGCGCCGCAGCTCTTCTGTCCACGAACCTCAAGCGTTGCTCCGATCCCCCGATCACTCTTGAGCTAACGCCGCGAAAACTTACGCAGACTGTCGACAGTCTGCTGCTGGTTCGTGCAGATTTTTCTCTTTGGCCGATTTTCGTGGCATGATCTGTTTAACGGCTTTCGGTTTTCTTCCACGCGTGTTGTTGCTATTGCAATTGTCGTCGTCATCGCCGTCGCCTTCGTCGTCGTCGTTCGTCAGCTGGCGTTTCGTTGGTTCGCTTTGCTGGCTGCTCGTGAGTATTTATACGCGCTGTAACTTGTTTCGAGACAGTCAGATTTAGTTATCGTCTTCAGTGCTTCGGTCAAGTTGTGTGGCTCCGCTATCCATTCCGCTCCTGCGCTACCAATTGGATATTTCAACGAAAAACCCCCTCCATATAAGGATTAACACTAACTGACTAACCAGCATAATCAAGGTGAGCTGTAATCCTCAGGCAATATTAAAATATTGCATAGAGCCGGTCATTCAGGAAGAAGAAAGAATTGGTCTCTTCGCCGATCTTTTGTATGAATTCCGCCGCATTCCATTATAAATTCTTGCATTTTATGTTATATTGTCATGCTGAAATGCAGCATGGAATTTTAATGAGTGCCCCGACAAAAACCAAAATTTGTGCAAATCATGTGCAGTTAAAGTGTGCTCAAGGAAGAGCAATAGCAATTACAAGTGGTCTTCTTCAACCAAGTTCAACATTGAATAAACGACAGCAAGTTAGCCTGGAATGCGCATAAATAACCGTCAATTGTGGTACTGGCAAAATTGTGAACAATAACTCTACAAAATTCTTCAATTGTTGCCGCAGGAATTTCAATTGCAATCGCCAAAAATATGTGACGCAGCTACAAAATAATTTCAATACAAAGTAAACACAAAATATATAAATGCAGAAGCAACAATGACTGCGCCCAATTTCACTCTCAACTTGATCAAGATCAGCAACACTTAAAAGTTGGCTCACATACGGAGTCCGTTCCCTCATCAACTTTAGGCGGAAAACTCGAGCCATCAATCTGTCCAAAAAGCCCACGGCAACCAAGAAGTTGCAACAGCAACATCAACAACATTAAAGTAATAACTAGAGTGGTCTAGTCGAGCTTGCGCGACTACACTATGCCCTGGACGACTCAGTTGCTCCTTCTTATGGGATAGACTAGGCCTCCTGCTGCATTTCTGGCAGCAAAAACAATATACCCTATACTGTAACAGTAATGGCATATGAGTACATGAATATATGTCCCAGTATAAGAGCTGGGCAGAGCCAGCGTGACGAGAGAGGGAGAGAGGGAGAGAGAGAGATAGAGAGTGTCAGAGCTAGAGCTAAAGACCAAAAGCCAGGCAATAAACCCGTTTCTATTTTAACCGCCTTACATTTGGTTTCGCGAAGATTTTCGCAATATTTGAAGTTGTTGCAGGCAACATTTGCAATAAACGCAATGGCCATTAGCAGCAGCAGTAGCAGCAACAGCAACAGCAACAGCCACAAAAACAAAGCCACATGAGTGTGCATAGAGAACTGTGAGCTTAGTTGCCTCATAATGGGCAAGCAGCACATACAGATCCAAAAATTACATCCACATTCATCAAATTTACAAATTTACCGTAATTGATGTTGGTTTGYTATTGTTGCTGTTGCTGTTGCTGCTGCTCCTGCTGGCAGAATTCAGCCAGCGGTTTTCAATCTTGCAATATTCGTTTAATATTTTTCAACATTTTTTGTTGTTTTGTTTTTGGTCAAATCGCAATATGTTTTGATACAATCGCTGCCTCACTGCGCCGTTCCATAATTGCCGATTGCACGAGTGTGTTGCAAATTTATAGTTTACCTTAAAACCAGTTGATCGAACTAATTAATATTTTGTGTTCCGACCTCAAAAATTTAGAAAATATAATTAATGGGATAGACTAAATTCGTATTAATAGATCAAGCTTTGGAATGGCTTAGCAAAATTTAAGTGCCAAGCAATAAGAAATATAAAATAAATTTAGACTGATCGAGAATAGCTGAAATCGGGTTTCATAGGTATACAAAATAATAATTAAAATTGGCTATATAATATTCCGCTTTGTATTTAGCTGATTTTTAAGTGTTGCCTGTCTATAAATATATGTATAATAGTCACCCCATGCCCCTAATGGCTCTAGGTGCAGGGAGAACAACAACTTGACTTTAACAGAAGCAACAGCTTCGTTTCCACGTAACTGCCTGGGAAGTCAAAGTGGAGCTCAGCCAAGCTCATAGCGAAATTGCGAAAGTAACATTTAAGAGCAAAATTAAGACAACAAAATAAAAATCTTTAAATCGCTTTCCCGGCACATTTGCTGATGAACTTAGTTCCAGCTGTTGCTACGTTTTGAATTTGCATAAGAGCTACATTATACTATTCACTATACATATTCACATATACATATACTGTTTGTTTCGTATTTTGCACTCACTTTTATGGACTCATATATAGTTGTTGCTGCAATCGCCGATAGCACATCAAAACTCAACCGAAATTGCCGAATAAACGTGAACCATGAACAGTTGAGTTTTTAAGGTCGCTTCGCAGTTGATTTGGGCCCAGCTGAATACCTTACGCAAGTGGGCGTGACAGTGCTATGAGTCGGTCTCTATACCCGGCTCTAACTACAGCCAGAAACATTTTGACAATGTGCTCGCATAGAGAGTCGAATAAGGGGTCTGGCCATGCCAATGAATCGAGGCAGTCGCGTGTGACTTCCACTTGAGATTTCTAAGTATTCCAATTAAAATATGAAAATGATTTTTAGATCAAAAGATAATATGTCAAAAATAATGATTGGGCAAGTAACAAATGGGTTGGACGGGTCGCCATTAATGCTATTAACTCTTGTGCAATTAAAAGGTCCTAAAAGCACTTAAAATGATTTTGTATGAATTGAATTGAAGGTCATTCAGCTAAATTAACTCGAATTATTTTCTTTACTCCCCTCTTCACACTCGTCATTTAGATGATGCTACTACATCCAACTCCTGCCCAGCGCGTGAGCATTCGCGAGGAGCTGCGCGAGCCCGAGGATCCAGCAGACATTGAGCGCGACATTAAGCTGATTCGCGAATGGCTGGAGACCCAGCCCCATCTGCCGAAAGACATGGACGATATGCGTCTGACGACCTTCTTGCGCGGCTGCAAGTTCAGCCTGGAGAAGGTGAAGAAGAAGCTCGATATGTACTACACGATGCGGAACGCGGTGCCCGAGTTCTTCTCCAACCGCGACATAAATCGCGAGGAGCTCAACATTGTGCTGGACTATGTGTAATGAAATAGTCAATGGAAACCATTCGATAGCCCAGCCTAATGAGTCTGTCATTCTTTCAGCCACTGCCCCACATTGCCAGGCATTACGCCCAACGGACGTCGCATTACATTCATCCGAGGCATCGACTGCGATTTCCAGCCCCACCATATTCTGGATGCCATGAAGGTGGCCCTGATGATCGGCGACATCCGCTTGGCGGAGGAGTCGGTGGGCATTGCTGGCGACATCTTCATTTTGGACGCAGCCGTCGCAAGCGCCTCTCATTTTGCCAAATTCTCCCCGACGGTGGTGAAGAAGTTCTTGATCGCCGTGCAGGAGGCGTATCCCGTTAAGGTGAAGGAGGTGCATGTGATCAACATTTCGCCATTGGTGGACACCATCTTCAACTTTGTCAAGCCCTTCGTCAAGGAGAAGATCCGCAGCCGCATCACCTTCCACAACGATGTTGAGAGTCTCTACAAGGTGGTGCCACGTGAGCTGCTGCCCAACGAATACGGCGGCAAGGCGGGACCCATTGTTGAGCTCAACCAGTGGTGGAAGAAGAAGCTGGCCGACAACACGGAGTGGTTCAAGGAGCAGGAGGACAAGAAGGCCAACGAATCACTGCGCCCAGGTGCACCAAAGACTACCGATGATCTGTTCGGCATGGAGGGCACGTTCCGCCAACTAAACATAGATTGAGACTACAATTATACCCAACATGTTTCATATGTGTATCTTATATATATTCTTATATTAATCACTCACCCATTTTATTGCCCATTCACATTTATATTGTTCGCTTTTCGCTTCATTCCCTATCTATGTATTGCATGTTGACTCATATCGCCCCAAAGTGCAGTAATTACAATAAAGAAACCGCAGCATATTAAGGAATGAATATCAAACCTCAACTCTTTTCAATTAAAGTATCCGATTAACTTGGGTATATATATAGTGTGATTATGGGGCGGCAAAATCAATATATAGAAATTACTAACTATGTGAAACCTTTGTCTGCCTAGGGAGTCTAACATTAAATTATACTTTAAAAGTTGACGGAACTTCGACAAAGTTTTAATGCAAATTAATATAATTATGAAGCTAGGAAAAATACCTATATTATAAATACTTTTATTATCAAACGAGTATATTAGTACTCACTCTCTTCACATGCTCATATCAATTACTCACTATAGATCGAAATATTTTTTATATGACCCGCGTGCTAAAACGAAAATATAACTTCATTATTATAACTTCATTATTGGAATAAGATTTAAGACCGTAAAGCAATATATTAAAGTTCATAGATTAGTCAACGTTGTTATATGAGTAAGCTTTGAATATTTAATATTTTTCATTGCTTATAGTAAGAGCTTTATTATACTTTGTCAAAAAAAATGTCCTTGTTTATCTTGTAACGATAAGATGCCGGAGCTTTTCTGAGTCCGATTTTCAATTAATATATTATTCACTTTTACGAAGGTGATAACCAAATCAAGTTGAAGCGTGAACAAATTATTACATGGTCGGTTAACTGTATCGAACCTTCTCTCATTTTCGACACAACTCTGTAAACCTGAATAGTTAAGGAGATATGTATTTAAATACAATAAAAATTCATTATTTATTACAAATATATTCAATTGTCATCAAAAACTTTTTAAGCTTAATGGGCGGTTTGTAAATAACAATTTAAGTTAAAATAAATGGAACCTCGATAGCTAGGCTATTTAAGAGCGTGAAAGCTGAAATCTTAAACAGCAAACATTGAGATCATGAAGAGCACAGACATTCCCAAAGAGGAGCCCATCGAACGGCGCGATCTATTCACCTTCATCGTGTCGATAATGAGGATGGCCGCAATGTTTACCTTGAGAACGGAGTACCAAAACAGTTACATGCATTTACTGACCACAGTGTTGAGCTGGAGCTATGAGATATTCACGTATTTCGTGTGTGTGCACATTGAGATTTTGTTCATGTGCTCTCTCTACATTTACTACGACGAAGGCGATTTGGAGTTCCTTGTCAACTGTCTTATACAGACGATCATCTATCTGTGGACCATCACCATGAAGCTCTACTTCCGACGCTTCAGGTACAATATGTTGAACGACATCATCAGCACTGTCAACGATAAGCATCAATTACGTTCGGCGCACGGCTTTACGTATGTGACCGTTAGGGGAGCACTGCGACGGTCCAATCTATGGATCAAGAGCTATGTGTACTGCTGCTTTATAGGCACTATTTTCTGGCTGGTGCTGCCCATAGCCTACCGAGACAGGAGTCTCCCTTTGGGCTGTTGGTATCCTTTCGATTATAAGGTAAGTCTGAATGAATAGCTAAGCACTGCGAAATCTGTCTTGGAATACCCGTTCCTCCTCATTTCTTCAGCAACCGCTTGTCTACGAGTTGGTGTTCTTCCTTCAGGCCGTTGGGCAGATTCAAGTGGCTGCTGCCTTCGCGTCTTCCAGTGGCTTTCACATGGTCTTGGGCATTCTAATGTCTGGACAATACGATTTGTTGATGTGCAGCCTTAAAAATATATTAGCTACGAGTTATTTGAAGATGGGTGCCACTATGCAAGAGTTAAGGTGATCCGCACTGTAAATCCCTGTAGACGTATTCTCAAATGGTCCCATTCACAGCGAGCTCCAGGAGGCACAATCCGTGTCGGATGCCGAAGTGAATCAGTATAGCTATTCCGTAGAAATGCAAACTTCGATGACAGAGCTAAAGCACCAGAAAAGTCTCAGCAACGCTATGGACTTACCCACTGCCTTCAGGCACTCCCTAACCCGGTGCTTAGAACACCATCGTTATATCATTAGTGTTCTGGAGAAGATGGAACGCTTCTACAATCCCATTTGGCTATTTAAGATCGGCGAAGTCACGTTTCTCATGTGCCTGGTAGCTTTCGTTTCCACGAAGAGCACAACGGCGAATTCGATCATGCGGATGGTGTCATTGGGTCAGTACCTGCTCCTTGTCCTGTACGAGCTCTTCATTATTTGCTACTTCGCTGATGTGGTCTACCAGAACAGTCAGCGATGCGGCGAAGCTCTCTGGCGAAGTCCTTGGCAGCTGCATATGCGCCAGCTGCGAAGTGATTATATTATTTTCCTGATCAATTCCCGTCGCCCGTTTCGTCTGACGGCTGGTAAAATCTACAATCTGAATGTAGACCGCTTTAGGAGTGTGAGTGGCACAATTAGATATCATTATAAAGGATACTCGAATCATGTTGCTTGCATTCCAGACGATTACAACGGCCTTCTCCTTCCTCACTCTACTGCAGAAGATGGATGCGCGTGGATAAAGAACGCAAGATTCTCTTTTATATTTTATTTTGTATATTACAATTGTTAAAATTTAAAAAAAAAAAATCTTGCATAAAAAGTAATAGACTTAAGCTTTGAATGGCAGAGACATCGAACACATGTCAATACCTCAAACACAACACCAATTGATTTTTTTAATATTTAGTTATTTAATATTATTGTTATGGGTTTGTGATTAATTCACGCTGGCTCACGATTGCGTGTGCCCCACAAGCATATGTATATGTTAAATAATAGTAAAATCGAACGTTCAACTATTGTGTTTGTTCGTTGCGGTTCTGATCTCGACTGATCTCAATGTTGTAATAAATAATTTAATAGAAAAGCATACATACAAAATTATGGTTTCGTTTAATAAATAACCGTTTCATTGTATTTTTGTTATGGCTTTAAAACTATAAGCAAAAATCATATACATTTATAAGGTACTTGGGTTTACTCTATCCGATATTTACGTTTCCTTGTCCAACCATTTCCTACTACTTTGTGTTAACTACAATGAGCAAGAAATATATTTAACAATTTAATTTGTTTCTTTTGTTTTTGTTGCAAAAGTTATTCAGTTTAAATTTGTGCCTGGCTTTCATTCTTACATTTAATTTATGCTTCATGTATAGTATCAAAAGTTGATGTAGTATCTCAACAGTTCAAGCAAATGATTTGCTTTGTTGGTCTATTACAGCCAAATACTACAATTGCTTGATTCTTGTTGTTGGTTTTTCTTTCTTTTTACAATACTTAGAAATGTTTGAAATATTCGCTTATAATTAGTTAATAAACAGTTTCTATTTATCATCTTTTCTGACTTTGCAGTTCTACATGTTTTTTTTTTTTTTTTTTTTT